TGATTCTTACATGGCAAACATGTCAGCTGACCATAATGTCTGCAGGCTTAGTTTGATTAGACGAGCTGTTGGGAAACAGAAATATCTCACCTCTAGTGGGTAACTAGGCAACATGAAATATCCAGATGATGTCAGGATCACGTGATAATTTTCGGATGCTTGTGTATGTTATTCTGAATGGGCGGCAAGAATCGATAAGTCTATGGATATTTTGAACCATTCTGTGACAATTTCTTTGAAAGGCACTTGTCTTCTCAACTAGTTAACTGATAACTGACCGTTTCGTTTCTCTGTGCAGTTTTACAAACAAGTCCGAATCGAACTGTAATGTTTGTGATTTTTATCATCGATTGTAGAATTTAGCTACTTAAACTGACCTTGAGATTCCACTCCAGTGCAGTTTTTTACTCACTTCACAGTCCCCTTATCATCGTCACTGCCTTTTATTTAACACTCGAGACGGGGGTGCTCGTCGGAGATTTTGAAAAGAACCCTTAGGAGGTACTAAGATCCTGTTTTGTGGGCGTGGCTTGAAATTTTTTTTCCCCTAAGCAGTACCAATACTTACATAACACATTATCTCCTGTCATATTTTTTCAGCTCAATACCCTAAAAGGGACCGCAAAAGCTCCTGCTGTGGACCTTTTGAAGCTTAACACCCTAAGAGGTACTAAAACCGCTTTTTAACCCCTGAAAGGTACGACCAGCACCCCCGTCATTTTTATATGGGAGACCCCCAGGGGCGTCAAACTTACAATGCTCACCTCCCAGTATAGAACATGATAGAGGTATTTTGTGTCTGTTTCGCTCGCTCGCCTTAGAACGTGTTGCAACCCCGATCTCAGATCCTTTTACTTTGTACCCTATGGTTGGGGACCGAGCCCCAAGAGAGTCTGTTTCTTTCCCTTTTGTTTACATATTTGTCTGTTTCTCGCTTTACTACACAAAGCATGCACTCGACAATCCCGCCAACTACGCAGCCTAATTTCGTCCCGCCCAATATCGGGTTCAACCTCTACACAGGGCGGGAAGCTTAGCTAATTTGCTGCTTGAGTCCTTCGTGTGAATTTTGTAATCCAATGCGGTTTTCTGCACAAAGCATGCTCGGGGAAATCCTGCCAACTACGCAGGCTAATTGACTGCTTGTGTCCCTCGTGTAAATTTAGTGAGTAACTTTATTTCAATCGGGTTGATGAGGCTGATTAGGCCCCTAGCAATACAGTCAAGCTAATATGCCGAGAAAAATGTATAAAAAATATCAAAAAAACAAAACAAAAAAAACATACATGATCAATTAATGACTAACATTCTAACTATATCAATAAATAAATCACTCGCTATCTGTCGGACAGAAAACATGAGCGGGTCCTCTGTGTTTCGTCTTGGAAAATCTCGTAGCAGGTTATCATAGGTCACGTTTTGGAATGAAACAAAAAAGAGGAGAAAAAAAAAACAAAACAAAAAAACAGAAAAGTACGTGAATGCTATAATTTCCGGAAGGATCTCTGTTTATACCTGCCTATTTTTGGTCCCCAAACTTGGAATCTCATTGTCTTGGAGAATCACGTACATTGTACGAAAGGAGTTATAAAATTCCAATTCTGATATCGCTTTACTTCCTAGTGACAAAAGTGAGCTATGTTATGCAACACAAACTGAAAAGAGCTTAAGAGACCGATGTTATTTATAAAGTTTTTGAGTAACTTGAAGGACATTTCTTGTTTTTCTGTCATATAACCTTGATTCCTTTGTATATCTTGTTATTTTGGAGTGGATTATTTGAGTGGATTGAAGCCAATTCAAAATTGCTTCTTATGACTTATATTCGTCCCCTCGTTTGTTCCTTCTTCGTGCACGTATGTTCAAGCCGTGTTCTTGCCTTGCTTTGACGCGGAGATTTTGCCTGACATCAAATTCAACCGCAAGCAGAAACCGGTAGTCGGTCGACGCAATCTACGTTATGCGATGCAAGCTTTATTCCTTTACAGAAGCTAAAAGCGGCAGAGTGTTATCCCAAAGCAAAATCTTTTCTGCCTTATCTCGACAAAGTTCAAGGATGGCGGAAAAAGCACTTGACACTAGACCGTCATTCGAGAAAACAGTCTTTTTTAATTTCTTGAGATTAGCCTCTTCACGCTCTCGATCAGCAATCACGACCTTGGCCTTCTTTATTCAATATTTTACACTGAGAGTTGCTATTAAATCCTGCAAGCCTTCTCTGACCCGATCAGCATAATAATAAAGGATTTGCGCTTCAGGAACGCCTATGCTGAACGAGAGTGCTGGCGAGAAAGACACTTTCCAGAAGTTTGTTTGATCCTGTGCCACTCGGTTAGTATATATTAACCTTACTATAATTCACTGAGACCCCAAAATACGCTGCCCGCTACTCTGTTCTAGAGTAGATATTTTTACCGACCCAGTCTGTTTTCCTTTTTTTTTCTCGGTTCTTTTAAAGGTCAGCTTGTTCAGGGGTAAAATTTCCAAAACCTGACAGCGGTATGTACCGTTAAGCCAGTATAATGGTTTCCTTCCCTTTGGCTGATGGGTCTTGATATTGCCGACAAAAGAATGATAACAAAACATTGTGATTTAACTTATTGATAATCTCGCTACTTTATTCAAACTGGAAAGTTTAACAAATCTGGGCTCACTTCTGTTTCAGTCTGTATTTTTGATTGCTTCCCTTTCGTTCCCTGTTGTTGTTGTCGGGGTTTTTTTTGTTTTTTGTTTTTTTTTTTATTTTTTGTAGACGCATCTAGACGTTGTTTTCTGTTTCGCGGAGCTGCGTGCGACCCGGTGTACTTTGTGACGGTTTTCATTACCTGCTCGTTTGACATGTTCTCATCACCCTTGATTTTTTTTTTTCTTGCAAAGAGTCCGGCGGCACAAAATAGGTGTCTCCAAAACTCAGACCTCGGAAACTCGGACCTCAGATCTGAAAAAGTCCGACCCTCTGGGTTTCTCAAAAACCCAAAGACCCTAAAAACTCAGACCCCCTTAGTGTCTCGAAAACGCAGACCCTAAAACTAAGCTAGACCCCCTTGGTGTCTTGAAAACTAAGACCCTAAAAACTCAGACCCTCTGCGTGTTTCGAAAAGGCTCACCCTAGAAATAAGACAAATTTACATTGCGTGATTGCCGCGCATTACCTCAAGGGGTCTTGTTTACTGTTCGTCGAGACAATGTCATAGCAAAACTTGCAGAAAAGGAAGTTGATTGTCATATTCGTTACTAGCTAGCTCTAAAAAGGGCCACTTTATTTTAAAATCAGATGGCCTGAGTTGGATTGAAGGCCACACAGAACGTAATCGACAAGAACCGTGTGTTGTGTCGACCGTAAATGGCGTCATGTCGATTGACGACGAAATCGAGTGTCATCCATACATGAGGAACATCCTGTCTGGGCCTCTTGGGGAGATGACTGCAAAAAGACACAGTTCTCCTAGCCCATTTATCGGCAGACGGTTAAATTTTCTTTCATGCTTGGCATTCCACCCTTGACGATAAAAAAAAATAAAATCGCATTTGTCGGTTTTACGTTTATCGCATTTGTCGGTTTTACGTTTAACAGGCGCAGTTTGACGCCTTTGAAGGGCTCGTAGACAAATGACACGGGTGCCACCAGGAAACACGTCTTTCCTCGTGCCTCAAGCACTGTTCTGTCACGCATCACAGGACGCCCTTGCCCCCTACCCCTCAGTAGAGAGAGCGATTCAGAGAGCTTCCGTCAATTTAGCAAGACTTCTGTTCGAGCTGTAAACCTTAGCGAAACTCAACCGCTAGAAATATATTGTAGTATCAGTCTGAAGATATCAAAACATTTTATCTGTTTGTGATCGATCACGATATGATTGCCGTGACTTGTATGTTTTAGGTATTGATATGATCACTGGTTTTGGGTCTTAAAGGTTAAGAGTTTCCTTTTTCACTCCTTTTTAATCCTTCAGCATATTTGACCCCCCACCTATACCGTCGATTATCAGTTCTTTAACTGCTTTTCCCACAAAGATTCATATCTTAAAGGATTATCTATTTTTCCCAAAGCAGATTTACGTAGGTTTATTTGCGGTTGCGGCGGAACCTCAAAAAAATTCATTTTTTACACAAGAATTCTGGTACTGCCCGGTTTTCCGGAAGTCCCTCTTGAGCTGAGGGACATAGGAACCATGGCACACCCTTCAATTGACGATAAAGGTCAAGGAATGCTTTTTCCGTGTCAGCACGTTTTGATCTCTTTTAAAAGTGCCTGCGCGCATGCAATAGCTCGTGATTATGTTTAATGCTTCAAGTACTAACAACCTTTTAAACATGCCAATCTCTTAGTTTAGCTCTAGCGTTCGCGTTTGATACAATCAAGCAAGAGGTGAGTGGTGAATGAAATATTAACTGATATAGTCATCACATTTCTTGGGTAGCCGTTCGCATGTAAACTGCAAAAACTTACCGAAGCATAAAAATCAGGACTTCCTTTAATTTATCACGACCGAGTAAATGGTGTCGACGACTTGTTGTATTGCTCCCAGTGGCAAAGTCATCATGTAGTCATCTCTGATGATTTAAGGCAGATTCGTCCCTATGGGTAGGTTGTTCTAATATACTATAAGACTTCGAGTCATTAATCGACGGATCGGATCTGTCACAGTCGAGGCTAAAAAAAAATGGAAACTTCCCAAAATTTTGACGATTCTTTAGTATTTGCTACCTGTTCATTGCGCAGTTCTCGCTTGTGCTCAAAGAACACTCAATCGGAACTCATACAACATTGACACTTAGACCTGTTCTGAGCAGTTAGTGAAATAAACTCAGGAAGATCCACTGAGAAACATGCATGCAGCTATTCAGATCTTTTTTTACAGAAAAATCTGCGAAACAACAGCTGAAAAAAAGCTCACGTGGTCTGCAGACTTGCTGGCAGTCTTGTCAAAGGTTCTCCACTGCATGTCGGCCACGCCAGCTGAACACAATGAAAGACAACACTTAGCTATTTAACAACTTGAAGTTAACAAGGAAAATCAGTTGACCGCCATAGCAAGTTTATGAGGCTGTTATTTCGATTGTTAGCTCTTCGTTAGAGAAGACAATTTACGTCTGTTTTATTTGATACATAAAAAAACTGAAAAGACTTGAACTGATTACTCGAAGAAAGACTGGACCATGAAAGATGTGGGCTATCGATTGACTCAAAACTGAAAGAAAAGTCAGTTCCGCCTAGCTGCTGAGGTCATGCTCTGTTCACTAAAATTGAATACGGTTATCTAATATTTTGCCAAAAATGCATTTGGTTCTATTCTCGTGTAGAATGAGTGTTCTACATTAAGCTGAGTAAAGTCAGAGGAAGTCGTGCAAAGATCGCGTATCGCAGATCATCATTGGTACATAGGTGTGGCATTGTTTAATGAATTTCTTTAAGGAAAGGCGGCTCTGAAATGCATGGTCACGGCTACGAGTATGATATTAGGTAGATTTCAGTTGAACAGGAATCATTAATATATTGGAATCATTAAATTATAGTATCGTTCATTTTACACATTTCTTTCCGGGTGAGTTCACATTCTTTCGAACCAGGATACTTTCTTTCAGATTTTCCGACACGTTCCGGCCTCTTTTTCGAGGCCAATGATTTTGTACTTTCCTTTACATCTGCGTTGTGTGGCAAGATCTAAGTCTCCCGTGAAAACTGCAGACCAGTGTTTACTGACCGCTTTTCCAGTAGATTCCCTCGGCGTACTTTACAATACCTATTTGTGTTACGTTGTCCCGGAAAAACTTGCTACGTGCATACATTCCTTGGTTCACTAAACAAGGCTTCGCATGTAATCCACTAAAGAGGCTCAACCTCAGGGTTACGTAAGCGATTAAAACGCGAAATTCACGTTTGACGTTTGTGTTGTATCAGTGCGATATGGGATGCGAAAGAGTTGTCGTTCGGATATCGCTCTTTTAGCCGTACATCCTGAGGTTGTAGTTGTCAATTAGCATAAATTTGGTTCACTATGAACAATACAAAGTTTTAGAGTATTTTTGACGCAATCTGTGTGTTACTAATAGTAACTTCGTGAGGATAGCACCAACTCGTGTTTTTGACTAAAGATCCGAAAAACTGCTTGACCCAAACGGTAAGTCAACATCGCAGTCTTGTTGTTCTAAGAGTGTTTGATCCATCGTTGAATGAAATGTACCCCGATAGAAATACATCATACGTAATATAACGAGCACATCTGTTTTAGCTGCTTGTCGCCGAATAACTCAAATCGGACGTTACATCAGAGTTTACAAGTCAGTTAACTTTTTGTGTGTTTTGAAAACGGTATTGATATGGTGATAATAGAGTTAACAATAAACATAGGAGAAACTGGATTAAGGAAAGCATGATCATGAAGTGCAGACAAGAGAGATTCTGAATTGTTTCATCAAAGTAACAACAATGCGGGACGCGGCAAACGATCAGCAAGAACCACTTTGAGTTTTCTTTATTGTAAACAAATCACGACATCACAAAACAGAGGTCAAAACTAACAGGGCCTTCCTTGCTTCATTAGCTTTCTTTCAGCCTTGCTTCTCATCGCAAGAGAGCAACAGGTTACACGCTCATTCATCATTGCCGAATAAAGAATTTAGGCACAATTAAACAATAGACTTTAGCTTAACAAGCTCTTTCACTTGTCAATGAAATGTCATGTTAAATTGGAATTAACCTACTATAACAAATGTTCAAGGGTACAAGCGCAAATCGTTTTGAGATGTTAAATTATAGCACTGGAGGATTAAGCTTGTAGCGGGAGAAAGTTTCAAAACATTTTACTTGAGATAAATTGAACGAAACCCGCGCGCGAGAATTAGGAAATTCACGTGTAATCTTACGTAAGCAAAACAAGTTTGAACGTTTTAACAAATGTCACCCGGAATAAAGCAACAATTGTACAAGAAATCCTGAATTGTCGCACGAATACAACTTCAGCATTGTTTGAAAAGCGTATCAGTATATTAACAACAATAAAGAGGTCATGAGAGCAGAATCACACTGATGAACGAGGTCTCTCAAACTAGCTACTCAACAATTAATATTATCGGTGAAGTTTTGAATGTGTCCACAATTTCCTACGATTCATATTTGAGTCGTGTATCTGCTATGAGTTCCTCCTTTGATGATGCTGAAGTTGAGAAATGTGAAAAATGCCAGTTAAACTTGACTAAGAAAACTAAACTAGATTGAAATCATTGATATGAAGGAATTTTATGGTCACTTGAAATGTTCGGTGTAACACTTCACTCAGTTACGTAGTGAAATCGCGATTGTTCTGTTTTCTAACAAGCGAGCCCGAGCAAGTTCGGCCTGTCTCTGACCGGAAATGTGGGACTAATTGCCAACCGCATTGGTGTTTTATTCAGTGTAAAAACGCCTGGCTGCGTCCTTTGTGAATAGGATGACCTACCCCCTAAATTGTGATCATAACGGCTTTGAACCCCGCTGTTGTTGATAACGTAAACTACTAAATTGTTGACTATTACACTGTTTAATTGCCGACGTATGCTGTATCTTTGACGCAGGGAAAGATCAAAGGGACTCAAAGAGATTCTTACCTCCATTTGCTTGTCAAACACTCCAGTCCAGAATAGGAAAGGTATGTTGTGCTGTCAGTGGCGTCTATCAAGTCAAACCGAGCTCTTCATTATCACATTTTAAATACCAAAGTTTACCTTGTTTGGTTAGTCACGGTATTAGAATGTTTTTTGGAGACTGAATACAAACTGCTTGTTTGTCGAATTCAGTTTGTTTTGAACGTTGTTCAGCATGGCTGCTTGGCACTAAAGTCACTGTTATCAAAATTTGTGTTTTGTTGATTCTGAACCTTATCTTGGTCTAATATTATATCGACGAAGATGTCACCGTAAATAGGAAGTCTTTGCGGCGAAAAATCTGGTTCGAAAAG